GCCAAGGTATGATTGAAGGCGAGGCAATTTCGGCATAATTTATTAGCTTTAACAAATTTTATGCGCCTTTGTATTGCGAATGTTTTAAGTAGTGAACACTTTTTCATGGGATGTAGTGTGTTGCATAAATAACAGGGAAACACTGTTTTAGAATTTGTTTGAAAAGCATTGATTTTACGGTTGGATTTTGAGAGATTAGAACTCCTGGGTACAAGCTTTGGAAATTTCATTTCTACACTTTCTAGTACTTGAAATCTGGACGTTAGAAATTCGTCCATTTGAGACCATATGGGAAGATTTCTTCTTGTGGGCAATGGATTTCTCCCATAGTAATCGGGTATCTTTCGGCAATTTGGATACGCAAATATGTATAAGGATAGGTTCCCAGCTGTCTGTCAACACCTTTTGAGTATTTAAAATGGACAGACATGTTTTTATTTTGCTTTGTAGATTTATAATCTTCGCTATTTTCTATGTCAATGCTAGGCAGATTCAGTAAGATTTGGATTGGATTGTCCACTAATATACGATTGTTTTCATAACGTTCGCTTAATGCTTGCCATGCCAGCTCAAAATTCTCGTCGCTAAAAGGGAATTTCTTGACGATTTGACCGGCTTGCCCTTTTGTTTTAGACCGGAGGTGGTATAATTTTTGAGCGGATGATAATTGCAGTGGTTTAGTAGCCGGCTGTAAAGATATCTCGGAAAGATTCCCATTCTTCATAACCACCGTGGAAAATCTCTGTATCACATGTTGGGAGTTGCAGATACATGTGAGGATTTTCATCTGTGTGCGAATTCTGTGCTTCTCGGGAGTGAGAGCTTGGTGGACTTATAGCTCGGATTAATTTGAGTTGATCTAAGATCTTCGCTTTAGTCATTTTATAAGTATCAATACTAAATTGATACTTGCCTTCCGCCAATGCCTAAAAATTATCTGGAAGGTCTTCCTCATCTTTTAGGAAAAGTGAGTCATATGCGGCTTGTAACCGCGCCCAGAGATTGTCAATAGGTTTTCTTTTATTTCGAGGGCCGACTCTGTGAATTCCTCTATGGGAGAAGAGGTGAGTCTGGCAGAATATCTCATGAAGCCATCATTTTCTATATTAAATTTTTGCGCACACGGGTCAAGAGATTCTCTTTTTCCTGATTTCTTTGCTTCGGAAGAAGTTGATTTCCTTGGAATTTTGGAACTAATTTTCGGGCTTTGTTCAGTTGGCATTTTTGATATTAGGAAATTTATTTATATTTGAGTATTTTAGTATGTATGGCTCTCGATTGAGCAATTTGTGGTTAATTGTGCTTTTTGTGGACTGTATGTATTTTTGTGACCGGTGAATTTTACTACTGGGTTTTATTTTTTATTTTTGTCTCATTCGGGGGTGGTCCCAAAAGTACCAGGCCTAACCTCGAGATGGCGGCAGTTGTTTGAAAAATATCACTGGGTTAAAAAGTACCCAATCTATAAAGCATATGTTTCAAGTTTGAATATGCCACGTTGTTTAGTATTTGCTTGGCAGCCGCCAATAGTGAACGTTTTCAGTGAATTTGTGAAAATGGAGAAAATTGGTCATCGTTATGTGATACAATACTTTTATTTGAAAGGCCTCAGACCATCCAATATAAAAGCTGAAATAGATTATACTTTGGGCGGGTCTGCTCGTTCGTTTACCACAGTAAAATATTGGGTAGCAGAGTTTAAACGAGGCCGTACGAGCTGCCAAGACGAGCATTGCAGTGGTCGACCAAATGAGGTGACGACTCCAGAAATGATGAAGAAAATCCACAAAGCGGTAATGGATGATCGTCGAATGAAAGTGCGCGAGCTGGCAGATACAATAGGCATTTCAAAAAGTATGGTACATCGCATATTATTTGAAGATTTGGAAATGAGAAAGCTGTGTCCAAGATGGGTGCCGCATTTGCTCTCACTCGACCAAAAACAGTGTCGTGAAGAGGTTTCAGTTGAGTGTTTAGCGAATTAATGAATTAATGTTTGAATTGCTACCTCATGCACCCTATTCGCCAGATTTAGCCCCCTCGGACTATTTTCTGTTCCCCAACTTAAAAAAATGGCTCCGTGGTCAAAGATTTTCTAAGGATGAAGAAATGATGTCGGCAGTTAATGGCTATTGTGAGGAGCAAGACAGTTCTTATTATAAAAGGGGTATCGAACTTATTGAACATCGCTTGTAAAAGTGTATAGAGCTGAAAGGAGTTTATGTTGAAAAATAAATATATTTTTTCCCAAAATTTTTGTGTTTTCTTTGTTAGGTCGGGTACTTCTGGGACCACCCCCTTATATATATTTATATAAATATTTTTTTCAATGTGGTTACAGAGTGCTCTTTTTTGTCAGTATATATTTTTGGGAAATGGAAAATGCTGCTGGCGTATTACGACCAAATTTACTCCTGGGCTCACTTGCTTAATATGTTTTTTTTTTTTTTTTTTTTTTACGAGGAGGAAGCATCGAAAGCCTATACCCGTCAGTGTGGGACTTTAACCCGAACTAAACCTCCTACGGTCCGAGTACCGAACCCCCCGGTACCACCGTCAAGTATTTCGTCGGGAGGCGGTTGAGCACTAGGCTCGCACGTTCGTTCCAGTCGGTTGTACTCAGTCCTGGGCTACGCCTAGTATGCTTAATATGTGTATGTTTATATATATGTATAAGGGCAGTGTAATTGTTTCACTGCGTTTTGAAAATGCAAGCGTTAGTATGTATGTATGTACATATTTATCTATATCGAACAATTATGCGAAAAAGTGAGAATAGCCGCAAAGCGGAAGCCAAAAATATTTGTTTGCAAGTAAGAATCTGTTTTTAACAGCTGTGCTTTGGAATGCACGCTAATTAGCTTTGAGGAGGCGCTTTTAATTATGCGCAAGCAGATGATCGGGTAGGTAAAGGGATCACCGTGCATGCGCATTAGGGTGGTCCAAAAACAGTAAAGTCGGAATTGTAATGCTCTCACCGCCTAGGATTGTTCTATATCGAAAAAAGAATACCATATTTTTTAATTTGAAATCAAAAAATATTTGGAGGTCGCTCAAAGCGCTCAAAGTTGTCCATGTATTTTTATATGAAAAAAAAAGATTTTTTCGTAGAAATGGTATACAACTCTTGAAAGTCAATATTTTTCGATCGGATTGGGTATTATTACTGCAGGTAAACAGAGTTTCCTGGTAGAAAATATTGACTTTTAACTATTCTATACCATTTCTACGAAAAGTTGTTTTTTCCCCATATAAAATAGATGGAAAACTTTAGGCGCTTTGAGCGACCTCCAAATTTTTTTTTTGATTTCAAAAAAAAAAAATAAGGGTATATTTTTTTCGGTGAGGTTAGGGGGTGAGAGGATAAAAATTCCCGTTTACTCTTTCACATGCAGTTTTTTACCACCCTAATGTACATATGTATGCCTGTATATAGGAATGTTCATGCGTAAGTATATTTAGTCCCTTGCTGGGTTGATATTTTGTATTTGTGACAATAGAGCTAACCTTGTAAATGTATGTATGTGTATTTGTATCTGCTCAGAAATTGGGATTAAGTGCATTTATTTATTGTCATGCGCGTATATAGGAATGTTCATGCTTAAGTATATTTAGGAGCTTGCTGGGTTGATATTTTGTATTTGTGACAATAGAGCTAACCTTGTAAATGTATGTATGTATATTTGTATCTGCTCAGAAATTGGGATTAAGTGCATTTATTTATTGTCATGCGCGTATGCGCACTGCAAACACTAATATAAGTTCTTGTTTTATTTATATTTTGCTAAATGAGTTTTAAGAAATTTGATTATTAATTGATATACTAATTGGACAATAATGAAGGCCAACAAATATTTTTCTTACACCCTTTCTGGCTTATAATGCTTGTAGGTCAGTGGTGCACACGGGAGTCTCCGTTAGCTACTCCGCTTTCACATACAAATCGTGTGTGCGCAGCTACCGAACTTATGCGCCGCTAGCAGCCGGTCAGTTTGTATGTTGATTCCATAGGCTGTGCCGTTCTTTTGGTGATTTTAATGTTGCTCCCAGCAAACACAGTCTCAAACGTTTGAGAAAAATGTATTTCTCAATTTGATATCAAATGTTTTTCTCAAATGATTCTCAAATTGAAAGCGATGTTCTAATTTTACATTTGAAACTCATTTGAGGTTGATTTGAAGAAAGATGGCAAGTGTCAAACGATATAAAAATGCGCAGTTAAATCAAAAATTGTAAGAATAAAATTAAGATCAATTGAAAAAAAACAATGAACAGAAAAACAATTTCAAAGAAAAAGCCCACAAATAGTGGATTCGATGTTTGCGCGGATTTAAGAAGTTGCAGCTCTTCCAGACGAATTTATTATAAATTACTTTATCTTAATTCTTTCTTTTGTTATGTACATACAAATGTACATCGCGAAGAAAAAATAAATATGAAATATACATTTCCTATAATAAATTCCATTTGATACAATTGATAAATAACCTTTGAAATCGATTTGAGAGTTAACCATATTCTCAAATGGAGATCAAACTCCCCTTTTTATTGAGAAAGCTGTAATTTTCAAATCAATATCAAATCATTTTCAAACGTTTGACATTTGAGAAAGGCTTTGATTTCAAATCATTCTCAAATGTATATCAAACCTAGTTGTTTGCTGGTTTTTTGATTGGCACTGTTTTTCGTTTTTTTAGTTGCTTACATGTATGTTTGCACAACTTTTAACTTAAGTTTTTTTTCCAGTTCACTGTATATATTTTTGATGTTTCATATTTGGTTACACTTTAAAGTTATTTTATGTTTGCTTGTAAGCTGCATATATTTTTTGTGGATTTGTTTATAACCTCTTTTGTCTTTGTACTAAATGTTCACTTTCAAATTGTCTTCGCTTGGTTTTTGTTGTTGTGTCCATATGCCAATAGGTGCCTTTCGTTACGGCGAAAAAGGAGCAACGAGTTGACTTTTCTCGCGAGTGGTTCAAAATGGAAAAACACTCGCGTTAATTATAAACGTCATAAAGTTTATTTATTAAAAAATATTGTTGAAGCATACATATAGTATGTAAGTATGTATGTAAATAAAATATATGTCCGGTTCGATATTCTGCGGTGGCCATTTTCCCGTGTGCGCTCGGTTGTACGGTTGAATTTGGAATGTTGTCTTTCTCCACTTTCCTTTCGTCATAAAGAGAAGTCGTACAAGCAGAGAGGGCATTAAGGTGATCCTTCATTACAATCTGACGATTGTACAAAGGTTTTATATTTTCGAAGAGGGTTGCCACCTGTACGAAAAATTATTGGATGTGGGCTGTTCGTTGGACTAAATAGTGAGTCGTTAAATGAGGGGACTTGGCGTCCAGATGTGCCATAAGGTTTTATTTTATTTGAAGTGTTGCCGCCGGCACACAGTGGTCGGAGCAACCATGTTTTACGCGAAAAAGGCATATTTTAAGACTGTTATAAATTAAGCGGAATAAAGCTATTGTTATTCAGAAATGTCCAACGAACTCAAAACTGAATAGTTATTTCAATAATATCTGCTGAAAAAGCCGTTGAATCCGTTTAATTCTACGGATTCTATCGTGGCACGTTCTAACAGTTGTGAGTTGATAACTTTCTTAACAAATTTTTTATGGAAACTTACAATTATAACAGTAATTTCTGTTTTGGTCTTACTTCTTAAACAAATTACATAATAAATCTTGGTTGGTAAATTATCAACATCCTAATAACACGGCTTATTTTTCAGGAAATATTTTCTTCAAAAAGGTATAACTAATTTGTAGGGTCGAGTATGATCATTATTCCTTTACAAAAAACAAACGCAAAGGTCCCTTTAAGGATTTACGAAAAGAAAAGCCGCGCATACTCGCGCCAAAAAGAGTGGCGGCCAGTTTTATTTCACTAGACCAACTTAAGCAGTTTTTCCAAATAACATAAAGTGTATTAAAATATTAAAAATTAATGTAATTTATTCTATATTGAGCATCATATCATTTATAAGATGTGTCTTAACAAAGCTGAAGTAAATTTTCAAAAAATCCAATAACGAATCCAATATGGAGTCCAAGACTTGAAAAAAAAATAACTGAATTTTCATGAAATTTGGTATTTAGAGGTTCTTAAGTTCGGTCATTACGAATTCAAACTAGTTTTTGAAATTTCAAAATGCTAAATCCAATATGGCGTCCGAAATTTCCAAAAATTCAAACCTGAAGAACTTTATTTAAAACTGAGATAACTGAAGTTTTGGAAATGCCGAATTTCATATAAAAGATTTTAAAAAACCGTTGGGGTCTAGATCAAATTGTTTAGGCTGAACATATAGCAGACGGCCCCAACTATCCCTAATTTATAAATATAATTACTGTTATTATTTCATAATTTGATCATAAATTCATTTTAGATATGCTTCCTCGTATATAATCTATACTAATTATATAAAGAGAAGTCCCTTTTTTTTTGTAACAGGTAATCTCGCGAACGGCTGGTCCGATTTTCATGAAATTTTGCATACAAATAGCTTTCGGTAACCACCATGTTTTAGGCTAAAAAAATTTTACTTTTTTTCGGGTAGGTGGACCAGGGACCGGTCTATTAGAAAAAATCTTATTCTAGTCCGATTTGCTTAAAATTTAGTACGTAAGTAGCTTTTTAGCATATATTAGCATATATGACCCATTTTTTCCGGGAAGTGGTCCAGGGACCGATCTATTCGAAAAAATCGAATTTACAGTCCGATTTGCTTAAAATTCGGTGCGCAGGTAGCTTTTTAGCATGTATTTTCATATGTGATCAATTTTTTCCGAAAAGTGGACCAGGGACCGATCTATTCCAAAAAATCGCATTTATGGTCCGATTTGCTTAAAATTCGGTACGTAAGTAGTTTTTTAGCATATATTAGGATATATGGTCCACTTTTTCCGAGAAGTGGACCAGGGACTGATCTAGCGTTTTACTGTACTCAAGAAGTTAATAAATTGAATTGAATTGAATCTCTGGAAATTTTTTGGTAGAGTTCTAGAATTTTGTATGGAGATGTACGAAATAAATCGCATACTCATGAAGAAAGAGGGCAGCTCTTGGAAAGGGGGGCGTGGCACCTCCCATATAAATCGAATTTTTATACTGCATATCTCTGAAAGTATTCATGGTACAGTACTGGAACTTCGTATGGAGATATGTATATAGTTGAAATCAAGCCCATACTCATGGAGAAAATTTGGGCTATTTGAAAAGGGGTGTGAGGCCTACAAACGTACCGACCTTTAGCTATCTTTGA